GACTATCTGAATAATCAGATAACTGCCAAAATCCAATAATGATTATATTCTTGGATACATAATATACATAACACATCTTATGAAACTTACTCTGAGTTATAATGACTGTCCTTGGCCACTAAAAGTTTATTTAGTGGAGGGAAGTCAGGAAAACTACCATGGGACCACAATCTGTAGAGTAGCATTAAATATGAAATTGGGGCAAAGAGGCTTTATAGAACGCGACCTCTGAAGATGGACTTGACACTTTTAACAGAGCTACACTGAACCGTGTGCTATTTTTAAATGAACTGCCTACAAATGCTTTAACAAGATGCTACTTAAAAACAGGGGAGAAAAGGCTGGACTCCACAAGCTCTGCTTTCCAAAGAAAGACAGGAAGATTTAAGGAGTCTCTTAGAAATATATAGTCATTTATAATATAATACAATATAATATAATACATTTTTTTCAGGTACTCTGTAATGTAGTGTAACATAGAAAGAAAACATGCATAGGAAGCTAAGATGTGAATAGGAAGCTAACTTCAGCCTCCTTAATGAAAGAGGAGCCAGATATATACGCTAAAGCTTATTAATATGTGACAATGTTGTATTTAATGTTGGGTTTTTGTTTAATATTTTACATTTAATTCGAATTTTATTAGAGGCCTCCAACCTGCGATATGGCGTAAGCATTCGATTCGATCTGAATCGTTTCCACCGCGGATTTAATGGAAAGAATCGGTTCAAAAGAGCGACTCGCTTATGAGCGCGAACCTCGCTGTAAGTCAGCAGTCTGACACTAGAGGGCAGCTTCTCCTCAGCCTGGTGGGAATGCACACAGTCCACCACGTGGCTAGATTGAGTCTAAAATTAATTCACCCAGAGCTTTTAGGCATAATCAAACATGGATTAAAGATTTGCTTATCTACACACATCTCCGATCCCACCCGCACTGCCACTGACAGCCGAACAATGAAGCTGGAAGCCAGCTGGGGTATATGCCACCCTCTCCCTCTTATCTCTTATCTCTTTCTCTATATAAACGCATACTCGACTAAGAAGGGATAATTATCTACTGCAGGAGAGAGACAGCGTGCTCTATAAATCACATACAGTCTCCTGTAAGGGGCTCATTTTAAGCCATTTTCATGTCTATAGAAAGCTCCAGCTCGCTCTTCAGTCCTAATCTATGTGAGTTGGAGTGAGTCATGACGTGACTCTGTCTGCCATTCTGGTTCTTGAGAGCTGCAAGTCACTACATAAGCCAATAAATCTATCAGATATAAATAAATAAATACTGTGCATCTGCTTGTAGCGTTTGCCATACATGTTGTGGATGAAGGCCCACCTGTAGGCGAAGTAACTGGTTACTCATTCCATGCACAACCTCAACCCATCAAGCTGGATCAATGGTAAAACCCACATGGCAACAAATGGCCCATTTAGATCAGAGACTTATTATAATGAATCATTTAATCAACTCGAGGAAGTACTGCAGTACCTGTATGTGTTTACTGCAACGTTAGTATTCAGCTACCATGCAGCAGAAAGCCATTAAGGTGGGCTATAGGATCTGAGCAGACTGACCTATATGAATGCATTAAGGGTTCATGAGTGGATGTTGGATTTGTAGGCTATTAGCTAATGTAGTGCAGCTGTTCTGGGAGAGGACAAACGCCCGTCCCCCTTTTATCTGTCAGCTTCAGGTGGGTAGAAGTTCATTCTAAGACACGTTTTTCTCTTTTTTTCTGTGGTTTCTGCAGTTGCAGGCAAACTTTAACAAATCTTTGCGGAATCAAGTCCAAACCTTTATACCTTTGGAGTTGACTCTAGATTCCCAAATGCCTGGAATCGGATAATCGACTCTTGGGATTGACGGGTAAACCCTTACTTTCACTCACTGGCCACTTTATGAGCTCCACTTACCTTATAGAGCACTATACTACATGACCTTATCCGCTGTTTTTAGTTTTACTGCTATGCCCGTTGAACTGAACACACTAATGTTCCCTTTAAATCAGACTTTTTATTAAATTGCGTGTATAATTGTGTTTTAATTACGGCCCTGTCTGCTTAGTGCCTGCCCGACGGGCTCAAAGCAGCCTTAGGGAAACTGCTAGTGTTTTTCTCAGCGTGAGCTTCTGTGAGGGGAGAGATGGTGAGCAGGGGCCGTATTACAGGAACGAGCTAATTCAGAAATCTTATCTGTTTTTCCACCATGACAACTTCAGTTAGGGCTGTATTTAGGATAGTAGCTATTACAGAACAACAGTTCTTAAGTTCACAATCCTATCCTAACTCTAGAGAAGAAAACAGGGGCCTTTCCATGTCGCTGAAAACTCGTTAGAGAACATGTTAACGTTACAGTGATGGTGACTAATGAGGAGACGGCGCTGAACGTGCGTCTGTTCATTAGCAGGAGTAACGTTAGCGCGCTCGGCTAAGGCGTTCGGGAAATGAAACTGAGAGCGGCGACGCTCTGATAAACAGCACGAAACCCTGCCAAAATATTCATAATATTCAATTTATCTTACTTTAGTTCTGTTCAGACCTTTTTTTTACATCGGTAACGTAGTTGTAACTTTAATTTGATGACGTGTTTACGTGTCAGCTGTGCGAGTCTGGTAGGCTGCTTGGTAACAGACGTGACAGTTGACTGTCGATTTCGATCGAGTAGGTTAAGATTTCCTAACTTGAGACGAGATGCTGTAAGATATGATAAAATTCCTAAATTAAGATTTGCTTCTGTGATACGAATTTGTGAAAAATCCTATCTTGACCTGTCAGATCTTAACTTAAGACAAAAAGATAGGAAGTTTCTGTAATACGGTTCCCGGCGTTTTGGAGTCGACTCCGGTTCCGATTCTAAGTGATGGGATTTGGATCGATTGCAAGAATTAGATTCCTCACAATAATTTTCTCGAGTCTCAGTTTAAAAACTCAAAACATACAGAAAGAGATCTGACAACGATAAGAACACTGCACTGTTATAAGGATTTAAAGCATGACTGCCATATTAGCAGTATGTCAGTTTAATTATATGACCTGTTTTAGCAAATCAGTTTGGAGAGCTAACTGACTAAATTAGCTGACTGTCAGAGAAAATTGCAGCTAATTTTTTTATCTATCAGCTTCAAGTGTGTCGAAGTTCGTTGTAAGTTTTTCTGGGGTCTCTGCAGTTGCAGTTGCAATTCCCAAATGCCTGAAATTGAGAGCTCCACCTTCCTTACAGAGCACTATACTACATGACCACAGATTTGTAGACACCTGCTCATCCGTTTCTTCTGAAATCAAGGGTATTAATCGAGAGGTCGTCACCCTTTTGCTGTAGTAACAACCTCTGCTCTTCTGAGATGGTTTACATTAGACTAGATGTTGGAACATTGCTGTGAAGATTTGATTTGTTCACAAGATCATTATTGAGGTCAGCTACTCCAGAGCATCCCATTCTATTGGCAGCACCTTTGTACACAGATTACACAAGCTGTGAGTGTGTAATTGGATGCATTTAGAAGGGGTGTCTGCATACTTTTGCCCATATAGTGTAGGTGTACAATTACTGACTGTGTCCCATCTGTTGTCATGCACAATTTGTCAGCCAAACACTTAATTTTGTTCTGTATCACTAGATAGTTTTCAACCACAGGGCTGTCAGATATTATTTTGGTGACAGACTTTTTGAAACACTGTCACTGCTGGGTTTAGAACGGTCAACTACCGGAGGCTTTCAGCCAAGAGCAGCTGTGTGGCCAGAAAATGCCCATTGATGAAGTGCTAGAGGCTAGCTAACACAAATTGTGTATGACAACAGATGGACTACAGTTTCTACACCAAAAGTGGAGCAAACAAGGTGGGTGTTTCTTAAGTCAGTAGTGGGTGGAAATAAGGGCAGTCTAACAAGGGCCATAACATATATCCACAGTCCTTCCATTACAGTATTAGTATTAGTATCATTAGTTACATTACGATATAGTTGTAATACTCTGTGGAAGTAATATTATCATAAATAAGGGTGTTATTATATAATAATAAATGTGGATACACAAATACAACTTCACAGGTGGGCCAATTAAAGTATGTAACGCTTTCTATCACTTGTCACCATTTCCGGCTCCGAGATGTTTCCTGCTATGTCACACATCAAGCTGAGGTACGGAGGCAGACTGAGCAGACAGCATGGCGCTTTGTCATGCCTTTGCTTATCTATGAGCTGTCAACAACAACCAACCCCTGTCTCTTATTTTCAGATGTAATTGAAAAGTTAAGGCTGCCATCTGTCTTATTGTTCAGTGTCGTGCGTACTAACATCTTCATGCAGCTGTCACATAAAACTAACAGTTTCCACTCTTTTTCTGGCTCTTTTCTCAGTTTCTGGCTCTGCATTATCAGCACTGAGTGGAGAACCCCAGAAGGAGTGTAGGGTAGCATTTTACAGAGGTACCCTAGCACTGCAGTTTAGGGCCAAATTCCAGATGGCTGTAGTACACTGTGTCACTATGGAAGCTCTCATTCCTTTATATTGCACACATATGATGGGAGTTCTTTTTTTAATGAAGTTTAATGACATTTTTTTTAATCAATTTTAACTGATGATAATCGCGATTTTACATGATTTAACCATTAGCCACGGATTTCATCTTTTTAGAAATTGCTTTACTGTATTCCATCTAATTTGACTTTCCCCAGATAGGGTATACAAATAACATGTTTTGGCAAATTTAGTGCAATCATAAAGAGAACTACCATAAGCCAGTGAAGACTTGCCACTTGGGAGTGTCTGGTTGTAGCTTGCTGAAAAGCTGGCAATCACATTTATTGCTCAGTTGCGATGTGTGAATTTCGGGAGCAGGATGGGTGAAATTAGAAGAGGGAAAATTAGAGAGAAAAAATCAGAGAAAGCCATGATAAACGATGAGAAATGGTTCTAAATGTCTTTCAGATAATGTAATAATTTATTCCTTTATTCAAACACCATGTAAAAGTTCTTCCGGAAAAGAATGAACACGCACGGTAGTATAAAAAGAACGTCAAATTCGTTTTATTGTGTTTTCTTTTGCAATCAAAAGATGTCAGAGGACATAACCAGGTTAATGCTGATGTGGTAACAGTGAATGGTGATCTCAATTGCATAATGCTAACAGGCCCTGCTAACTTCCATTCAGTGTTAGCAATGTTAGCATTTTTTACGTTAACTATTTCTTTAAGCATCTGTAGAGCACACGTTCAGCGGTGGAGCTTGGCAGACAAGACTCTTCTGTTCAACAGACAAAAGTTTTGCAGCGTGGACAGATCTGAAGCAGGAGGTTCAGTGATGGTGGAGATTCACAGACAGGGACTCTGGACTGCTGTTCTACTCTACCACACCACTCTGATGGGCTTTGATCGCATTGACTGCGTCTGATAATACTGTCTGTATTATTGTATAGCACAATATAAACACCATGACATTACATGTAAACATCAAGGTGTACATGTAAATGGCAGTTACATTCAGAAACATATTTGGTCAGACAAAAATATTGACTGGACTTTTTTCCCCTCTGTTGTCTTCCTCTCACACAAAACGTAGTCAAAAGGATCTATATACACATAATGGCAGGGCATTAATGGGACGTAGAAGAAGAGCTTAGAAAAACACTAAAACGTACATAAATAAATAAATAAATTAATTAATTAATAAATAAATAAATAAATAAATATCAAAGAGGTGGATGAAAAACACACACTTGTATGGCTCTTGTGTTCTACTGGCCTCTGATTCAATGAAAGCAGGTTGGAGTTCTAAGGAGAGATGGCACAGCAGGATGCTAAAGACAAATTCATCATCGTCCTCCTCCTCTCATATCATGTTCTGCAAACAAACAAGCACATGATTACATAAACTTCTGGTGCAGGATAGCTAACACCAAAAGCGCTTACATGCTGTCCTCCATTCCCACTTGCTTCAAATAGTATACATCTAGTATTGATGTTTTGATGTTTGATCTTCAGGGCTTCTTGAAGTCGTGTTATTGTTCAACAATGAAAGCACAATTATGAGCCTAGAGATTAAGTGTGCTTCATGTTAAAGACATTTGTTTTTTCTGCTGCTTATTGATCCCTGCTTTGCTACAGTGTTGTCTCTGTGTGAACTGTGAATAGTGTAATTAACCAATTTAGGTCTATTGAACCAAGCAGTGTAAAAACATGCACACAAACTGTGTGTGCGGATGACATATGCATGCTTTCAAGCAGTCTGCTTTAATAGGTCTAAATTAGCTAAATCAGTCTGTAGTCACAACATGGTTATGAACACATGCACAACTGCATCAAAATCCTCACTCCACCTCATTTCTCCTCCTGGCTGCTCCTGAGGTGCGGGATGCTGTGGAGGAGAGGGAGGAGGGGCTTGCAGCAGGGGAACAGTGGCTGGACATTTGACTCCTGGACACCATGCTCATCTTACAGTACTGGATCAGCTCCTCATCTGTATGCGACACAGTTCAGCATTTATAGTCAGCGGTTACTGAAATGGATGCATTTAAGAAAATGAATCAAATGAGGAATCGAGTGTGGTAAATAAAGCCTGTTCAAATTCATCTGCAGCCATTCATTGCTTCACTGTCAATAGCTACTGCATGGGTAATTGACCCTATCTGCAGGATGCAGTATGAGTGCAGACCTTCTGTACTCCACTGGCTGGCAGCTCTCCGCTCAGCTCTCCTTTCTTGGCGGGATGGGGGTGTTCTGCTGCCACTCTCCAGCATGGCTGCCAGCTGCTTCAGGGAGTCTTCTGCAGGAGGGGGCTCGGGGGGTGGGGGCAGGTCTACCGAAAAGATGAGTTAGCCATCCAAGTCAATAGCAGCAGGGAACAGCTGCAAATACTGTATAACTCAGAATTCTATTCAAAGTACAAAATCAGCAACACTTATTTTTCCTGACCTCCTGGTTTTAAGACTTCTCTTCTCCGTCCATCTCTAGGTGATTTCTTTTTGGGCCTTGGTTGGTGAATGGGCGACGGAATAGTTTTCTCAAGCGCAAAAGAAGCAAACTCTTCTTTTTAAAGACCACAGAAACAACAATACGTATACGTTGCGTTAGTCAATATTGTTTTTTCCTAATAAAGCAATTGTATGTGGTACTACAGAGGGCTTCTTACCTATTAAATGCTTATTGTTGTCTGACATCAACCCCTCCATTTGGCCAATGTCTCGCCAGTGGCCTGTCAGATGCGGCAGGCTGCCACTATGAGATTCCAGCTTGGTTAGTAGATTTGGGTTGGACAGAGGTAACTGGGACATGGGTGTGCATGGTGCTTTGCTGCTGGGCAAGCATAAACCAATGAACATTAGAACTTCTTCATAAATATAAACCTGTGTGTCTATCAGCATGTAAACATGTATATATGGCCACATTATTAGGAACCTGCCCAGACACCCACCCAAACCTGCAACTATCCAAACAGCCAATCATTTGGCAGCAGCGCAATGTATAAAGTCACACAAATATAGGTCAAAAGCTTCCGTTAATGTTCACGTCAAACATCAGAATGGGAAAAAATGTGATCAAAGTGACTTTGACCATGGTTTCTGATGGTTTATGTATTTCAGAATCTACTAATCTCATGCATAACAGTCTCCACAGTTTACACCGAATGGTGCGAAAAAACAAAACCATCTAGTGAGCGTCATTCTGGGGGTGGAAATGCCTTGTTGATGAGAGGTCAGAAGAGAATGGTCAGACTTGTTCAAGCTGACAGGAAGGACACAATAACTAAAAAAATCCTTCATAATAATACAATATTACAACAGTGTGATAAGAAAAGCATCTCTGAATACACAACACATCAAACCTTCATGCGGATGGGCTACAATAGCAGAAGACCTCTTTAGGTTCCACTCCTGTCAGCTAAAAAGAGGAATCTGAAGCCACAGTGGGTACAAGCTCACTGAAACTAAACAGCTGAAGATTGGAAAAATGTTGCTTGCTCTAATGAATCTTGATTTCTGCTGAGACATGCAGATGGCACGGTCAGAATTTGCCAAAAATGCCATGATTACCAGTGTTACCCAGTGTTCCTAATAAAGTGGCCAAAGAAGTGTATGTTTATGTATGTATTTCTAAGTGTACCGTGGCAATAAGTCAGGGTGCTGCAGGCGTGGATTAGCTAGCCGTTGCTCCTCATGCAGGGATGGTGTGAGGATGCTTGTAGACTGATGGCTGTAGGTGGTGCTTCGGCTAGACTGCTCTCCTCTCAGAGGCAGCGTGGCTGCATTCTCCAAACTTTCAAACAGATAGGTCCTCTCAGGCAGAGGAGGACACCACTCCTCATCATCGTCTGAGCTACAATACAGAGAAAAACGTAACACATACACAAAAAATCATTAAACAGATCTATTTAAATGATAATGCACAAATAAATACTATACTAACCCAGACACTGAACAAAATGAGGTAATTACCCAAAAAACACCAGCCAACAAACAGATCACCAGCCACAAACCCTCAGGGAGTGTGTGGCAGGGGATTTATGGGTTATAAACAATTAAATATTGCATCACGATGCCAAGACAGAACATGTTTAAGGAATAAAAAAATTCTCATCAAAACAGACCCATCCCTGAGGGCAACATCTAACATGTTGTGAAAGGAAGAAAAAAGTTAAGGGTGCAAGTTGATGTGTCTCACTGCACTTGATTCCTGCCAGTAGTTATTAGAAAAGGCTCAGCAGAGGCTGGTGGCCTGTGTCTCAGCCTGCTTGTACTCTCGGCGTGGCATTAAAGCTCCGGCTTAAGCACTAACTTCATTAGCCTCTGTCACTGTGAGATGTCTATGAAGACGAGTTCTGTTTTTAATGCTCCTTCTCCATTCTATCCACTGGGAGAGGTTCAGCACAAGGACGGACAAATGAGAAACATGTAAATAATGATTGAGGAGAAGATATGCAGACCACTAGGGGATACTCTGTATGAAATAACTTTATTTGGGGCTGCAAATTCTATTACAACAACAACAACATCGAATACTTTTGACTCAAATAGTACATAATGGTCTGGCCAAAAATACCCAAGGTCAAAAACTACTGTTAATAGTATCTTAAATCGCCTTTCAGAGGGGAAAACTCATTTGCCATGGAAAGTATTTACCAAATATCCTCCTACTCAGCCTTTGACCATTTAGCCCCCCATTCATATGCAAGTGCACTTCTATAAAGTTCTTCAGCCTGGACTGCTTTTTGAGCAAAGCAAAATACAAGGCAGCCAATCAGAGGATATTTACATACATCATTTTTAAAGGCACTGTAACAAAAAGTTAGAAGTGAACATTATGTTCCCTTTAATTTGGCTCTTTTAATTTGAGTTTATTAATTTCAGATTATCCATCTACAGTGTGGTGCTGTTCTAGTGGTTCTGACCTGGGTCGCTGTCTCTCTTGGTGTCTTTGTTCTCTGGTATTTGGCGGAGGTAGGGAGAGGACCTCAGACCAAATAAAGGTGGCTGGGCCACAAGACTTCTTTATTCCCACAGTAGCTGCAATAATGCAAAGGTCACCATTACACAATACACCCAAAAATATCTAAATATTTTTAATATTTTTAATATTTAATATTTAAATATTTAAATCTACTCATGAACTTACATTTAAATGTATACTTTGGATTATCACCTACAAACCTACAACTAATTTAAACCTGAACATGAAGTTAAGCAACAGTACCTTTACCCATGCTTGGGTATTGGAGTTTGGCATATTCAGCTGTGCTGTGGCCAGACTGGAGGCTCCACTGGTCTAGGTCCTGGCCCAGACTGAACAAGTCAGTCTTGGAGAGGACTGGTGAGCTGCTGTAGGGGTCTGGGCCCTGGGAGTAAAGACTGCTCATGTCATGCTGCTCCTCCTCAGCTGGGTTAATAGTGCTATAGATGGGGCCCTCATTGGATGTTGGGCTGTATGTATCACTCTGTTTCAGGAAATTGGTGATCCCAACGGCTGGGGAACAAATAAAGGCATGCAAATGAACATGAGAATAACTGCTTTTTGTACAGAAAGGCGAAGAGCAGGAACATGTAGGAATCTCTAAAGTTCCAAGAGAGTTCTTACTGTTGTAGTATCTGTCTGTGGAGTCATGTCGACCAGAGCAACAGGTCATGGAGTCTTTGCTGGTGTGAGTGAAGTTGCTTGTTGGCCAAGAGTCTGCCAGCCAGGGGTAGTTACCCATATTTGATCCAAGCAAGCATGGCCTACAAAGAAAGGACAACTGACATCCACTTACCTGATATGGACAATAGCACATTTTCAAATTGTAAAAGCATGTTCAAAAATATTGCACAGAATATAGAATTTGATCCATACCTTCCATTGATAAGTCCTGACCCATCACTATGGGAGAGTCCAACTAAGGCAAAAAATTAGGGTTACTAACACTAGTAAGACTCACAGCTCTACTGAAAAATGACACAGGCGGGCAGAGAAAAGGAGTATGTTATTTCAGCTGCCACCTACCTGCAGGAGTGTAGGCGAAAGAAGTGGCGTAGTGGCCGAGCTCTTTTCTTCTCCTGCGTCTGCAGTAGATCCAGGCACTGAAGCCCATCAGCACCATCCAGGAAGCTCCACCCAGGCCAGCAATAAAGGCCGGCTGTCTGACCACCCCGGAGATCTGCTCGGAGAGACTGATGCTATCGTCCTTCAGCGTTGGCAATGAGGGTTCGCCGGCAGGGGCTTCTGTGAGAAAAAGAGAATGAAAGAGAGACAGGGAAAGAGAAGTGTAAGGACTACTAGTAAAAAAATGGGAGACATTTTGAGTGTGAACGAGATCAGTGAAGCTAATACAGTCATCCTGTTATATCTGTCAGATTTACTGCTGAAAACCACTAAACAGACATATCATGATAACACTGACATAATTTTTTTAAACGGCCAAGTGAGAAATATTTGGCCATCTGTTTGGTCATATGGCTGAGTGGGTTGAGATGCTTCTCCAGCAGTTTTAAAAAACATGATGGCAGGTTGCAAGTTCATTGAAGGAGCCATGTGCCAGGCTTGGCATCAAATTAGTGGTATGATGCACAATGGCAGAAAGATCGATTAGATGAGAACTGGCTATTGTTAAATTAGAGAGAAAATCGAATCTACATTGTAGTTCATTAGCATCTGTTTTGGCTCTGTGTTCCAGCACATTAAAAATAAGATGATGGCTATGAGGTTGAAGGGCAGATTGTCAGCTTTATTTTGAGCATTTACATCTGTTCTGGGAAAAAGTAAATCGTTAAATGAACACAATCCTAAATAAAACTGTCATGTTTAGTTCCTGTAAACCCTTTGCAGTCAATCACTGCCTAAAGTCTGCACTGACGTTACCCAATTCTGGTATCTTCCCTGGTGATGCTTTCTCTGGCCAATAAAGGGGTTATCTGCCTATTTCTGAGGCTCTTTTTCGTTGGTCCAGACTTCAGTAAGTGAATTTCAGATGGGGTAACTATTCCCACATAAGAAATCACCATGCTTGTTTAACCATAGGGTAAATACTTTTAGTTTAAGGTAAATGACCATTCATGTAATCACCACCACTATCACTGTTGTTGTTTTTATTGTTATGTTTTAATTTAAAAAAAGCAATACGGCTGCCTTAAAATGTAGACCTTATTGAACCTCAAAATATACATTTATAAAATGTAATACACTGATTATTGTTCTTTTAACTTGCTATTAGCCAAAAACATTACTCACTTTTCTAAGGTAATACAACAAATCTCTGTTACAACGCATCACAGCTGAGGAAGTATGATTTGCGTCATCAAAATATTTTTTATCTCATATCATCACTCTGCTATCTCATCTGCCTGTAAGACTTTGTCCCAGAAAGGCCTATAAGGTTCCCTCAGCACAGACATAAATATACTCAAAGTAAAGCTGCCATGCTGAACTTCATAGTCACTTTTTTATTTAAAATCCATTGCCCAAGCTTACAGGTTCTTAACCCTTGCTCCTGGAGCCCTCTCTGTCCTGCACATATTAGTATTTTCCTGCTCTAACACACCAACTTCAACCCACAAAGGGGTTGTTAATTAGCTGATAAGTTGGATCAGGTGTGCTGGGAGCAGAGAATGCAATACAATCTGTAGGCAAGATTTACTCCAGGACCAGGGAACTACTTTCCTAGAATAAAGAGCCAAAACAACAAAAACAGTGTCACTGTCCAACTTCATACCAACTACACTGTATATAAAATAAATTATCTGAAGGATGGTAAATATTTGACTTCATAATTCAATTTGTCATTACATGCCTCTTGAAGGAAAAACATTAATATCACATATTCCAAACTGTCAAAATCTGCTCCAGCGGTCAAAAATCATATTTTACATCTGGAATGTATTCCATTGGTTTTGAACTATATGCTGTGGCCCTGTTTAGTCTGTCACATCTAATAACTGTCACCAAGAGCTCGGAGCCAGTCGGCAGCAGAAGGTACTCGTTACAGATAGCATGTTACCACGTTTTTTTTTCCAAAACGAATACTGAAACATTGAGCACTAGCCAATACCGATACCGGTCTGATACTTTTACTTTAAAAAATACTAAACTTTAAAATGAATGTTTGATTGAAGTAGTCATTAAAAGCAGTCTATCATGCTCAAGCTACTCAAACACCTAGCTAACATACAGCTAACAATATCACATCACACAATGTGAGTGTGTGGTATTTCAGGCTAGCTGTGTTTCATGACTAGAATGGAGTTTTTTTTCTTTTTTCCCTCCAATATTCAATCCAGCATTTTCTGCTAATAATGGCCTGATACTGAAACCTGGTCTCAGATCAGTGGCAATTCTAATACTCACTGAGGAAGATGAAGATGGGGTGGCTAGGTGCCCCTGCTCCTGCGCTGGTCACGGCTGCCACCTGCACGCGATACAGCAGCTCCGGCACCAGGCCGTCTAACAATGCCCAGAGAGCTTCTCCATCCACGCTCTGGTTTAACTGCTGCTGGGGCCCGGTCTCGTTTCCTACGCACCACACCTGTACAAGGCGCCAGAGTGTATTTTTACGGGCCCCGTCGCCTATAGCCAGTCTCAGCATCATGTAGAGAAAAGCCACGCCTCTCACCTTGTACTCCAAAATGGGCTCATCTTGGCCATCAGCGAGGGGAGGCTCCCAGGACACGCGCACGGTGGAGCTGTTGCCCAACTGGACCACGCTCACGGCCTGAGGGGGGCCGCTTAGCACTGGGAGACCAGAAGATTGTCAATGATCAGAAAAGCATCACCAGACTCCAGGCCTGGAGATCAAAAGCTCTGCAGAATGTAATCTTTTTCTTGATTTCAACACAAAAAAGTTAACCCTTAGAAGTCTAGAATGCTACATTACATAATTATTTAAATGTTATTATGTAATTAATTACACAGTTAATTAGATAATAAAATAAATTTACATTCTGGACAACATGATATTTATCACATATGTCATGATGAATTACTTCATACTGCATCACAATATACTTTTCTGAGCACTAAAAGAACACAGAGAGCATAATTAGGCCTGTTTTGTTGGATTAAGTGCAGTGCAGAGTGTGGAATGTTGAACATGTTGAACACATTTGTGTTTTTTAGTTTTTGATAATATTTTTTAAATGTGGCACAACTTATCAATCCTTATCAAGATAAACATGATGCATATCATGTACTGAAAAGTATATTTTTGTAACACTGTCCACCTCTATTTGAATGTATACTCCCAAATTTCCTGTTTGTTTAAAAAATGACAATAAGCTGAAAGTTTAGAATCCATGCTTCTGACACGTAATGTAATGTATGTAATGTAAAATTACATAATTCTAAGGGTTAATTACCAAGCCCTTCCTAACCTGAATCAGATATGTTAAGACAGCCTAAACACAAAATTCTGCAGTGATCTCGACTTCAAGGATTTTGAAACCTCTTGAAATAAAAACAAACAAAACCTACTATATGTTCTGAAATGGTGATGGGGTCACTCAGGTCATTGGAGTTGACAGCACAGATGATGTACAATGAACAGATACACAGTGCTGAGGCAGATGCCAGTATTTCTAGCTTAAGGAGGTACACAAACTGAAACGACAAGAGTAATTGATGAATACATATCAAAGCAAGCCTTACCCTCCTCTGGGGTGAGAACCACTACCAGCTCACTGTCCGATCCCTGGAATTCTTTGAAGTAGGGCCTCAATTTGAGCTCATACTGTGTGCCTCTGCGCAACTCAGATAAGAGGGCTATGTGTTTGGGCCCTGCCTTTATGTCCTGAACCTGCCAGGCACTGCCCATCGGCCTGTACAGCAGCCGGTAGCCCTGAATGTAGTGTGGTTCGCGCTCGACCTGAAATAACATAACAAATGCACTGTGAATGATACTGTATGCAGTAGACTGTTATATGGTGGAACATGATTATTTAGATGACTAAGTCATGTCCTTACAGTCCATGTGATCTGCACACTGGTAGGAGTCAGGATCTCTGGAGGGTGCAGATACACTGTGACCTCTGCTAAATCTGTCTGTATACGCCTGTGATCAATTGCTGGCCCACTGGGACTGCCATCTGAAATGCACACACATACACAACCACACATTGGCACATTCATATATATGAATACACAATATCATAAATGATGAATTATAAATATGTGACAATAGAAAACTATGTATCTGCCAGTGCACGCATTTAATCTTCACACCTACCAAGTGTTCTGACAGGCTCCGAGATGGGGCTGGGGTCACTAAGGCCGTAGGAGTTGACTGCTCGGACAATAAACAGGTATACAGTGTTGGGGTACAAGCCGGACACCGTGTGCTTCTCCTGCTTCACCTGGTCTGCTACTGTCTGCCATGTGCTGCCCACGGACTGACTGGAACAGAAGGAGAGAGATTAATTAAAATGGGATATTTCTGAGAATATTTGATACAAGATAATATACTTGGATAAGGAATGGGAAAGTCAGTAGAAAGTGAAAAAACAGGAGTTTCCAAAAATGGAAATAAAAAAAAACCCATTACCAACAGAAACAGACAAAATGGGACTCCTAACAACCAGGCAAACCTGGCAGACCACCAAGACCATCAGATAAACAGTACTTAAAGCTGTCATCTTTGAGGGACAGTAGAAAATCAAGCTCCACTCTTGCCTCAGATCTGAAAAAATCCACAGGTGTTTCTGTCCATCCTTCCACTGGGAGACAACTGAACAATATAAGACTGAAAGGATGTGTAGCTGACAAGAATAAATTACTGAGAAAAAGCAACAGACCAAAAGAAGAAAAACTGCAAATAAAATAAAGAAGCAGCTGGTATTCTCAGAACAATGGACAGGTCACCCCAGAGTCCAGACCTGAACATCACTGAATGTGTTTGGAAATACTTAGATCATGAAAAGCAGAAAATGCAACCAACTTCTAAGACTGAACTTTTGAGGTGGGGAAAAATATCCTTGCAGATCTGAAAAACTGAGAGCAAGCCTCCCAAAAAGAGTGACAGCAAAAGTAAAAGGTTGACACATTAAATAGTGATTTTTTTTAGTATAACATTTAGTCACTGAGGCCTCTGTGTACTTTTCTCTTAAATTTATTTTCTGCTTTTTTCCTGACACTTTAAAATAACCTGTACTTGACAGCTGTTTGACTGAACATTAAATAAATGAAATTTGTGTACAGTACTCTGCAAAAATATGGCAAATCATCAGTTCGACGACAGAACACTGACGTTTCATTAAAAGAGAGCATTACTAGTCCTTTCTAAATGGATTTAGTGCAGCACAGTATGTGAAACGATGAATAAAATTCACTGTACTTCACATCAGCCACTCCTACTTTCAAATGACCATCCATAAAAATGTAACGCTCTCTCTCTTTTTCAGACACTCCAGGAATGTGTGAAGGGCAGTGGAAACAATTGGATTTTGTTGCTGCGCACCACAAGCGGCTAAGGTCAGAGGCATCCACCCAGAGGCTGTGCGCACACAAGCGAAACATCTGAGCAGAGGAGGCCGCACTACACATCGTAGCACCTCCTTAACAAGGTGTCAGAGCAAAGCTAAATAATGACTTGGCCTCTGCTTCCAGCATCCCAGCTACCTCCCCCCAGTCCCACCCAGCCCCTTGGCTGCTCTCCTGATGGGGGAATAACAGAGTGCTGTCAGTTGGCTGGACTTAAAGAGAGCCCGAAGGGAAGCTCCGTAACAGCTGCCCTGGGGATCTGCTGGAAAGAGCCTCTGCTGTACTTCCCCACTTCAGCCTCAACGTCCTTCAGCCCTGACAGTCTCTGAATGGAGTTTCTCCAACAACCATCACGGTAATGAGACCTTTTGACACTAGAGGCCACTGAGAACGAGGAAGTGGAGCGAAAAATCTAATGCAATGAAACGTGATGAACGTGGCTAGAAAAGACGAGCTCTGCTCCGTGTGTTGTATTTTCCTTATGCACATGAACCTCCCATACCAGGACTATGATAAACGAGCTTAAGCATGAATATTAAGCATGAATATCAGTACTGGCAGTATTAATGGTAAATACACTGACAGATACAAATGACAATATCCTGGTATGTATATATGCACAACCAAGTCTCAGAAAGCCTGTGAGTGGATCAAGTTCAGCAATGTTATGGCATTTATCCTGCTGAAAATTGACACGGTAATGAAATCAATATGTCCATGTAATAATTTTATCTTTGAAAAGCTGGTGTTGATTCTTTTTTTAGCACGTTTGTTGTCTGTACATTTTTTGGCAGCACAGTGCGTTTGCTCCCCCACAATACTAGAATGCAGGTCGCTAACTGGATTCTGCCATGTTTTCTTAGCCGAACAGATGGAGATGGGGCAGAGTAATGTGCTGTAGGGGAGGGTCTTATAAAATTACTAACAGGAGGTCAGTGTAAAGACAAGCCCTCTGCTTTGTCCTGCAGTTTTCCAAACAGGGTTTCTCAGGAACATAATGCACATATGCTGATGCTATTGTTGAAAATAACCATGTTCTACATATTTTCCAGTTTATTTGTACTAGTATTAAAATAAATAAAGTGACAAATGCACGTTTAAGCCAAAGCTTAAACTAGAGATGCATTGATATCATTTTTTTCAGACTGAGTATGAGTATGAGTACATATTTTTAAGTACCCAGTCCGATACTATAACAAATTGCCTACTTAGAATTAAGTAGTTGTTAGTGTTAATGAGTGCAATGTACTTTAAGAGTTAAATCAGTAAAATCTTGCTGATTTCAAAAGCTGACTGGCATTGCAGTGGAGAAGAGTGGGTTTTGTTCCATGTCAGAAAAGCACTTCTGTACAGCTGTAGTTTTGCTTCTTATGTGTGTCTTTCAACATCAGTCTCTGTAGCACAGTGACAGCAATAACTACATCCAAGGCTAATGCATCCAAGGAGCTTGCGTGGCGAGTTTTACGGCTTCTTTGAGTCTTTTGTTTGGCTGGTTGTGTTGTAGTTGAACGTCTTCCAAAGCCAGACATACACTGAGAAATTTTACAAATCTCATTCTTTTGGTGACTCACATCATACGATTGAAGAGACCCTCATGTATGGACAAAGCATATGATTTATATACTCACAATGGCCCACATTTATCAAGCTTTTTACTCTCTATTTACTCTCTAGTGCAGGGGTGTCAAACTCAACCACTAAAGGGGCCGTTTTAAAAAATTTCAACAAATGTGTGGGCCAGAGAATAAATGTTTTTATTTCATTTTTAATTAATGTTGTGCTGGGCATTGTTCACTCAAAATTCCCAAAAACTTCATCAGTAAAATAGAGGCACTTGTAGTAGATCTTGAAATCACATGAATACTTGAAATATTGAAAATTATAATGTCCCTAGGAGCTCGCTCTTTTAAACCTATTTGCTCAAATTAGACACCTGGCGTCTTTTCTTTGCAGCAAGTTCATTAAGACTTGGGCTCAATTTCTAAGCTGCTGAGCTAACATTAGGTGTTTTTATTTGGTGGACTGCAGCTGAAATGCAGATTGGTGATACAACTGGTGTGGAACTGTATAGAATTATGTAGAATTGAGGTGTAATCGCTGTCCCATAGATTGTTGCTGGGGTCATTACGCACACTACGCTGCAGTGTATGTGATGTTTTGTGTTATGAGGTTCAGTTATTCAATATTCTATAACTGTTTTTTGAGTTATTCAGTCATGTTTCAGAAATGTTTGAGTCATCTGGACTTTTGAATTGATTTGATGGATTCACTGAAAGGAACTCCGGTAGTGCAATTGAGCACACCATGACTTGCAAAAAGGAGATTCACACAAAAAATGACACTGACTTGCAGTATTCATAGGCAGTGGTTTGCCTTCCCCCATGTTTTACCTGAAAGCCTCAATAATGTAGGAGGTGACGGCAGCGCCCCCCTCGTGCTGGTTGGGTTGCCAGGTCAAGGTGACGCTGCTCTGGGTCACATCTGTCACCACAGGCTTCTGAGGAGGGCCAGGAAGCTGCAAGGCCTGTGAGACCCGTGGGAGAGAGGACGTTCCTGTAGCTGTAACACATAACCTTTAGTCAGCGTGACCAGTTGGGAAGCTCATACCCAGCCCCAAAGCACAGATGATGACTGCAGTGAGCATTTGAGTGTTATGAGAACCAGGCTTTGTGAAGGGCTAAGTGAAAGCATGCGAATGAACAGAGCGTTTGTTCTCTACCTCTCACGGTCACGGTCCCACTCCAACTCGTCTCGCCTGTGGAACTGGAGGCGACGCAGGTGTACATCCCTGAGTCGGTCTCCTAGCAACAGAGAAGGCAAAATAATCTCTCTTTATGGATGAAAGAGGACAGAGATAATTGCAGTGCTCTGTCTCCAAATGGTGCAGATCAAATGTGATGTTTTCAGCTGATCCGGCCTGCTCGCTGAGAGCTAGAGGTCACGGTGGCATAAGCAGAGAGAACTGACAAACAAAGTCCATTCAGCTACTAAACATTTCTATACATGAGTATGTAACTTATAAATATGATAGACAGGTAACGTAACGTTCAATATAATTAAGCCATTTAAATAAATGAGGGATGCAAATTTTATGACAGTAGCTTCTCGAAAACAGCCAGTATGTGTATACGCACATACAGGACAGTCTTGTCGGTAGTATTTAACACATATTTTATATACTATATGAAAAAGGTGAGGCCAGTTATTATGTATACAAAGAAAAACAGTGTATCACTAATGCTGCATACATAAAATAATGTGAAACTAATTTGCAGAAACCTGCAAAACATCAACGGAAAGTGCTCTTTTAAAAGACACATTGCTTGTCGCATGGTGCGTGAAGCTTTAGCATTCAAGGAGGTTCTGCAGAGCAATGGTGAATTAAACATTTCATTCTCCTTCTGGAAAGACCTCTTTTGCTATCTTCAGCTTTTGATAGGCTAATGCATCTCCTGTGTTCAACACTATCATGACATGACAGATTTGCTTCACTTCTCTGATGTATTGGGTGTGGAGAAGGCTCTTTGAATAGTTCACCGCTGCAAATGCTTCTTATTGTAGAGAGAAAGCTAAAAGTATTTCTTCACTTGTCAGTTTCTAATTAGAATCCCCAAGACCATAAATCATGCACAGTCTCAATTAATTAATACTACACAATCTGTTCAAGCCTACAAACGGCAGGTAAGTCAAGGGAAATTCGCAACTGCTACTTTGTCAAAAGCAACTGTTTATGTTTCTAAATAAGGTCATTAATTACCATTGAAACTTTGCCACTGACATGTAAAAAGGAAAAATGCCTTCTTGCATGCACTGATGCAATTTTAAGTGAACAGTAATGAAAACTAAAAATAATGAAAAATCTTTACTTGGAGACTCACTCTAAGAAATATTTCTTATGAGTTACTTAAAAGACTTCTTTCAAGCTTACTATCGTACTCAACCAATGTGACGTATGAGAGCAATTAATTAAGTTAAAAAATACTATGTAATAACACTTTTAAACATATTTTTCCCTGATTCAACTGCAGTCATTGCAAATACCAACTTGTGAACTGAATTTATTTTGGATTGCACAACATTCCTTTACTGTAAGGTTTTTCCTGAAATATTCCCTGCATATATTACAGTAAATGTGTTAGAGTAAAATACAGAAAAGAGTACTATTTAAGTGGAGCAGATTCTTATAGCTACTAAAGCTATATTAACTGCATGCTTTACTAACTAACCAATTTGCAACAAACTTTAGTAAACAGTTAAAAAATGTACAGTATCAAAGTAGATCGGGCAAGTGTTACTCTTTCTACTTTCCACAACAAGTGAGTCACAGCAAATGAAACACTTCAAGCAGCACCCATTACCCGAGGCGTTTTTGTGAACATCTCACTCGATTTGAAATGTTCAGCGAGGGGCCTATCTGTCCAAAGTGCTTTCAATTTCCAGTCCGCTAATGAAAGCCAACAATCTATGTTTTGGTCCGAAATGTCTGTCAAATACCTGCAAGCCGCTGATGTGTAAAGTGCCGTTTTCCATTAGGCTTATGTGGACGTCGTCCTCCGGGAGGCTTTGTCCGTCCTTCTCCCACCTGATGCTGGGGGGTGGGCTGCCCGTCACATGGCACTGGAGCAGGATGTTGGAGCCCCGGGCCAGCGTTTGGTTGGCTGGGCCCTGGCGGATGATGGGAGGAACCAGGTCTGACGGGCCTGCAAGACAAACAGCACAATGGGTTTGACTGAGATTCCTGTCGCCTAAAAGCACCTCACGCCACCTCTGCCATGCCTCTGATGCAGATGGACTGACAATGGCCAGCAGAGAAAAAGCATACCACAATAAAAAAAAGTCATGCACGGAATTTACTTGATTGAAATGTGTACAACATTTCCAGATTAAAAAATATACCAACACATTTTCTTGTCCATCACTTTATTTACTTTCAGCAATAAATGTATTGATGTATTGTTTTTATTTGTGTTGAAATGATGTACACATTGAAAAGTAAAATCAATATTTTTTTCAGTGCATGCCTTTAGCATGAGCAGGCCAGAAGAAAAGAGCTCCTGTTGTACATTATTGTTCGCTTTCCCAGACCCAGGTTAAGCCTGGACTACATTTTTAATGGTGAAACACCAATGGCATTGCAATTTAGTCCAAGACAATGTTTAAATCATGTCCAAAAAAACAGCCTCACGCATCTCTGTATATACAAAAACTGAAGACTGAACATTTCCTTTAAAACTCGGCTGACAAATTTAAGTTGACCTCTTCAAAGCTTTTGATTGCAGTGTTATTTTTCCATAATGGCATCTCTCTCTTCAACCTACTGGTGATCCACTGTTCTTACCAGGCTTCACTTCCAGTATTGCTTTGGAGATGGCACTGCCTGCCACACTGATGGCCTGGCACACATAGTAGCCAGAGTCTTCACTGTGGACATCCTTAATGGTCAACTCTCCGCTCATCGACACAGAATAGCGTCCGGCTTGAGAAGGGGGCTGCCCCGGGAACAGCAGCATCTATATAGAACATATACAACCATGCACACAGATCATGTATGGTCACAAAATTAAGAGGTACTACAAGAAAAGTACATGTACTTGGGTGTATTTGCAACAATAGGGAAAATGTTGTGGCTCTGTCAAGTACATATGAAAAAATATGTCTTTGACTGAAGCTGAATTAGTTTTTTTTTTTCCAGTATTGGTTTATTTTTAGATCATCAACAGAACCTAGCTGCAGGCAGTAGCAGTGTTTCCATAGTTATAAGGGAAAAACACAAATGAAAAACATGAAAGACCATCTACACTTTAAAAACTAAATCCATTTTACATTCCATATGTTGAAATTGTAGAGATTTTAATAGTACTGTTTAAAAACCTATTTAATATCTTTATTCGAAATGTTCCTATTTTGGAACTCATCTCTGATGGTATGAAAGAATTCCCCTTTATACCTGCAATAAATTTAGCTCGTCACTTCCTGGGCTTGTGTCCATATTTCTAAAACCTCTGTCTAGCATGTGAAAGTGCGGAGCCAGCTTTCTGGGTGAGCAAGGCATCTAATGAGCTTGTCTCTGCAGCAGTACATTTTGCAGCTGTTGCTTTACCTAGCCTATCAATCGTTTATCTCTGAAGATTACAAACGATTTTCTCTAGTTCAGCCTGAAGCAGTTTTCCTTTGCATTGAAATAAGTATACTTTCATTTCCCTGGCATAGTCCTTCAGGGTCTCCCAGATCAGTGAGGGGTCAACACAGTCAATCGTATTTGTGAACAAAAAAATATCAGGTTTATACATCTCGTATGAAATCAACTGTAGATGTTTAACGAGATAAAACAGAAATCTCTGAAACAGTGACTTATGCAACAATAGATAGATATACAGTACTGGTCAAAAGGCAAGAGACCATCTATTTAATTTCAATCAAAACTTCCACTGATTACGAGTTAGTGTCAGAAAAAAAGCAGACATCATATAATTAACAGAAACATACACACAAGCCTCAACATCTAAATCGAATATTCATATTTTTTAGTACGTAGTGTGTCCATTGTTTGATTTATTATAGCCTCCAATCTATTCAGGAGACTTCCTTTCAGTTTTTTAAATCTACCAGAAATATATCAAAATCTCCTGAAATGTACCGTGATCTTTTTTCACACCTTCAAAGTTCAGTCTTAGAAGCTGGTTGCATTTTTTGCTTCTCACAATCCAAGTAATCCCAAAAACATTCAATGATGTTGAGGTTTGGTGATCAGCCCATTGTTCTCATAATGCCAGCAGCTTCTGTGCTTGATTTGCAAATGTTCTTTTATGTCTATTTCCTTTTCAAGCAAGAGTGGAGCTTCATTTTCTCTCTCAAATATGAAAGATTCAAGTACTGTTTATCTGAGGTGGCAGTTTTGGTGGTCGACCAGGTATTGCAGTGGTTCATAGGAGTCTTCCCTATATCTTTGAATAATTTTTTGAAGTACAGTTTTGGAAACTCCTATTTTTTTCATTTGTCTTTTACCCAATCTCCTCACAAATAACTCTTTAACAATGAATAACATTTACTTAATGGCCATTCTGACAGCACATTAAAGGAAGGGTGGTCTCTGACTTTTGCAAACTACTGTAGTTGCATCACTATATCTCTAATGGAACAGTAATAGAAGCACTGTTCTACAGCCAAACACAAATCAATATTTGAAAAATGTTCTGAGAAATGTGAGATAAATCTGAGAAATTCCTCACTTTTTGAGATGTGATTCCTATATGGTTCACCCAGTTTAGATGCAAATAGCCTCAAATGAAAGCTGATATTTTGCATTATATTCCCTTTCAAATCCTATGTGCTGGAACACAGAGCCATTAACATAAATTCCGATTCCTTTCAGACTGCTGTTTATATCTAGAATACACTTTTAAAATCCCCACTGATAGATTAACACCTACAGTGTTGAATTTACAGTGTTCACTGCAATCCAAACGAACCAAAATGAGTAAGAATGGGTATGTAACTGTGTATCTACAAGAAGTGAAAGATTCGAGCATGCACACATCTCTCTCAGCTGACTGCAAGATGATTGAAGCCAACGGCTGCTTATTTATTTGGACTCCTGTGAGAACAACACATCTTTCAGAGGGGAAGAGCACTGCATTACTTCCCCTAAGAGGCTCTCATTTTGGTCAGAAGTGGAAGGGTTAAAAAGCTTCAAATGAAGCACAGACAACATGAAAGTAGAGGACTTCTGATTGAATTCACTCAGTAGACCACATCCTAATTCACTGTCATTTTCTACCGCATCATTAGGACCGAATGGTCTTCATCGTCCTGCTACTGGGTCTGAAGTCTATTTATAGAATGCCAGCATGTTCCAACTCACTGCCAGGCAGTAGCATGTGCTTTTGTCTGCCTGAAGGAGGAGCTCTGACACCTGATGTTTCTCAAAACCACCTCCACTCCCCTTCTTTCACATATTCCTGGCTTGTCAGAGGAAGCGCCTTTCTCACCAACGCTCTTCCATTATGCCACTGAGAACACAGATCTGCCTCTTTATCTGTGTATCGAGCTCAAATGGGCCGGCGCTCTGATTCACCTCTTCAGTGCAATCAGCACGACGTGCCTAATCAGAGCGAGCAAGGGGGGAGAAAAATCCCTATTGAGAGGCTCCGGCTTGTTTTCAAGCGGCAAGGAACCTAATGAGTCACTGATCAGCACGGCGAGACACAAATGAAACAGATTTGCATCAAGAGCTTTGAATAATTAGGCTTCCATAACCCACACATAATACTTCATCAGCGAACGGTGTTGTGTTGTAACCAAATGATATTGAGCGCTAGCGTGAAGTGGCATATAAAAGCAAAACATGGCATGCCTTGCCGGGTTTAGCCTCTCAGTGGAAGCAGTACTCCTACCTGAGTCCCTTCTTTCTGCCAGAAGACTGCTGGAGGGGGGTTGCCCTGAGTGCCACAGTGGAAGGTGACAGTTCGGCCCTGAGCGGAAACCTGGTCGCGAGGCTGGACGGTGATTTGTGGGGACACTGTGAAAAAGGGGAGCAGAAAGGTCAGTGTTAGACATTTTGCTGGCACTTCACATAATATGTTTGCAAGTTAGTGGGGAGTTACAAAACTAATCTGAGAAATGAAATGGTTACAGATTATGTTTCTTCTCATGGCACAAACCAGCACAAACAAACCAGACCACTTTGATAAAACTTGCACATTGATGGGATAAAAATGATCTCCAAATAACTTCAGAATTAAAATAAAGTTTTTTTCACAGCATAAACAAGCACAAACACAACGTAAACAATTTGAGCTATTTCAGAGCAATTTGGATTTCCCAAAAATCATACCAGCACAAAAGATACATTTTACATCAAAAATCAGCACAAACGCAGCACAAACAGAAATATTTATTCGTTTTCTGATGGTATTTGAGGTGCCAAGTTCACAAAGGTCTCCAACCTATCCATCAACAGAATCTAAACACCATGCCATCATACTGAGCCAACATAATTTGGCATTTTTACAAGTTCTGAGTGATGATCTCTGATCTCATCAATCAGGTTATATATTCTGCTGCGCTGAGCTCCATCAGTGCTGTGATTTTCACATTAGTGTGAGAAGCTTGGGCTTAAAATCATATAGACTCTGCACTCATCTGGGATTAGAGGCATTAATTAGTTGGGACTAGGGGGTTAGATTCTACAGCTCTGGATAAATGAAGCACTAGTGTGTACTGGAGTAGTAGCGCTTACACACTGCAGTCAGAACATCTGTTCACAAGGCAGTCTTACCAATCGTGAGCTCTGCTGACAGCAGGAAGATTACAAGGCAGTGCATGTGAGGTGGTCACTGCCTTTTCTCGCTTTTTTCTACTAGGCTCTAGAGCCCATAGCAAGCAGTGAAAAATCCAGCCATTTCCCTTATGGCTTTTTAGAAGCCACCGAGCCGAGAGCTGTGTGGGCCTTTGTTTTGATAACCAGGCTTCTATCCTGCTGCTCAAGAAATTTCACAGCAGGCATATGAACACAGCAGACTAGGCTCCAGAGGGAGAGAGAGAGAGAGAGAGAGAGTGAGAAGGAAACAGGGAGAATGTGAGAGAAAGAAAAGGAGAAAGAATCTGACTCATCTTTTCACAGTCTTTTGGAGCAAACTAGAAAACTCCCACGCAACTAAGCACTCACACTGTGATGGCAACGAAGAAACTTAACTCCAAGAGAACAACGAGGGCCTGCAAAGTGACAGCAACACTGTTTATTGTTTGTCAAATTTCAGGTGCAGGAACGCAGAGACAAAACCACAAACTGGACATCAGCTTAAGGGACCGAAATAATGAGCTTTGGACAAACTCTTCCTCTGAAGGATGAAATATTGAGAGCCATGCCTCATTTCCCATTCTGTGTTTTATGCCGGATAAATTTTGGATGACCAAGAGAGTGGGGATGTCTTTGAGTCACTACTCAGTCATGGGAGCACTTCATCTGGCTTTGAACATTCTCTTCCAAACAGACAGTCGGCCAACTCTCATTTGATGAATGTGAAAACAGCAGATGTGTGGGTGGTCAATCTGTAATCTGGAGGACTTTAAGTCACTGATTCCAGGGCTTACCGTAGGGCTTGGCTGAGCAGAGGACACTTTAAAGATGATGAGAGAGATCCATCGGTCGAGAGGAGAAAAAAAACTCTACTCTTTCAATTGCCTGTGTGTCTCTGCTCTCTCTCTCTCTCTCTCTCTCTCTCCAACTCATTTGATGGTGGTTGAACGAATATTAGTGGACAAAACATTATGTAATTTTATACAGCCTATTCGCAGAGCTGAATCTCCACTGAAACCTATCCTCACTGAAATCTAATAAGAATAATGGCCTGCATTTTCCATTATAGTCATATCAAAGTAATGGCTTAAAAAGCCTTCCATACTCACATGCACAAATACACACACACACACTGGTATGTTTTTCTTACACCAGCAGTGTTGCATGTTGACAACAAACATGCAACAGCTCCTTACTGACTGAGGCAGCAAGAGCATGCAGTGAGGAGTCGACATCGCCTATTGCCTGATGCCTCTGGCCATTTCATTTTGGTCACAAAAAAATGCAGAGCCTGTGACCAGAGTGGCCACTTTCTTTGGAGTAGGCATGTACTGATATAAAACTATAATATAATATTATACATGAACATGCATGTAGTGTGTTGAATGTAATTTGGTGGTGGTGGTTATACACTGGTGATTTCTGTCTTGGAAAAAAAGACCCTGATGACACAGTTCTCATTTTTTTCTGGAATTATGTCTTAGTTTTCTCATACAATTTTTTTGGGGCCAGGTGGTAGACCCTCACACTGAGCATGAAACAATAGCACTACAACCACTACTGTTAGCTGTGAAGGTGGTCAGACCAATAACTAAACACACTAAAACACTTGTACAAACATTTAGAAGACAAAAGCACAGATCTTCAGTGATCCCAATAACAAACCCACAGGGCAAAATGATCAAAGCCTGATGAAGATGTAGGTGGGTCAGCAACAAGTGACAGGTTTTTGGTATTGAAGCTTCCTTGTTAACACTGTATATAATGTATAGTAGGGGCGTCACGATATGCACGTGTTAATATTTGTCGATATGGGGGTGGCGAGATAAAGTGTGCTGTAAATCGAACAGTCAGATTTCATGCTATAAAATATGTGACAATGGGAATGGCCTCTATAGTTCTTTTTAACATAATCCATGATATTCCCAAAAGTGATAACCACAAATGTAAAAAACTACACTGTGCAGCTCTCACGACTGGAAACTGGTTGTACGGTTGATTAGTCAAGCTGTTTGAAATGGCAAGATGTCTCAGTCGAGTACAATGATGATGGACAAAGAGTGGTGGATCGAGCGTTGACAGAGTGCCAACATTGCTTAATGCAAGAATCAGGCTTCAGCCTTGTTGAAACTAATAAATCTCAATTTGGTTGTGGAGTTCATCTCTATTTGGTTGTAGAGTGGCCCTCTAAACGTTTGTGGTTTGTTTGCTGGGAGTGATAGAGCCATGTTAAAAAATCCTGCTTACTTCAGCCAGAAAATAAGAGCTACACTTCAAATAGATACACAAGATTATAAAATAATTTGTAATGCTCAGTTGGTTCAATACTTAGATGTAGTTTTTTAGTTTGTTTTTTTTTACTTTTACAGAGATAATGAACTTTTGTTTATCTCAATCTTTCTCTTCTAAGAAAATGACTTGTGCCAGTTATCCCACTGTAGGGCCATTTACTGCTCACTGTTGTTCCTGTGACAGCTGGGATAGGCTCCAGCACCCCACCGCGACCCAGAAAGATAAGCGGTTTAGATGATGCGTGTGTGTGTGTGTGTGTGTGTGTGTGTGTGTTGTTCCTGTTGCTTTCAGGCCGCCCTGCTGGCTTCTCTTACCCTACTTCTCATAAGCCTTAGACAAATTGGGCCTGTCCAGGAAGTTTAGTTGATTCAAAAATTTTCCACTTGCAAATAATCAAACCAATCACACTGATAGTGACTGTTTTGTTCTCCATGGTTGCTATGGCTCTGTAGCTTTTTCCATTCGAGTGTTGTTTAATGGAAAGAAGCTCCTTCACCTTCACCATGAATGCTACCTGTTGTGTGAAATCTTCCCAAATAATGGCAACGTCGTCTATAATAAAAAAAAATTTTTGCAGCATTAATATGTAGAACTAGACTTATCTTCATGTAACCTAAGTGTTCATGTAACTTCAAATAAGTCTGACCTTTTTCCCTATAAATTTCTTTTTTTCTTAACATGTCTTTGTTTATGCTATCGAATACATACTTTTTTAGTCATATTTTTAAGTACAAAGTCAGGAGACATCATGCCTATAAATCTGAAGTGGATATATGCTGGTTTGGTGGCCCTAGTGGCCAATGCACATTTACATGTCCAATTAACCCTGTGTATGTGTGTGTGTGTGTGTGAGTGGGTTTGTGAAAGAAAGTGCGTGTGAGTAGGATGGAATGGATGAGATGACAAAATCAAAGCAAAGGAAACAGAAAACTAGACATTCTGGAAAGACCATAAGGCAGAAGACGTGAGAGAGAGACAAAGAGAGAGAGAGAGAGAAGAACTGCTAGGTTTCATCTTAATTCAGACCGGCAAAATAACTGGAGGATGAATTAAATCAGGACTGCTCCAGCTGCCTCCTCTGGCTGTGCTGGTTAGATTCCAGCTAACACAGTCAATTAACTAAACACACACACATACAAACACACACACTTATATTCCATTACCACTGCCTCTGTATTCTATCAGTCATCTAAATCGCACTGTTGCTCGAACAGCTGCCATATGCAGTAATCCATATGTTTTACCACAAGTTGGATGTAGTGTGTGAGGCAGACAGAAAGAAAGGCTGATAATCGCGCTCCTTCCGTCTCAGTTCACGCAGATAGCACTGATGGTGTCTGACAGGCTCAAAGAGCCGTGATCAGATCAGCTTAATGGAAATGAAAGATGAGCATATGCATGAACCCATGAATACCAACTTCTGATTCATATTTTATGGGCGCTGGAGTGTGTGTGTGATGTGCAGCCTTGTGAAATGTGTGTGCGTGTTTGTATATATGCTTTTGTGTTTACAGCACTGTGCAAAAGTCAGAGACCAACCTTCAATTAATTTCTAATCAAAACAGTACAACTGAACTAATTTTAGGATCAGACATAAAGTAATCATGTTGCATAAAGAAGGAGAAAGTCAAAGTGAGTACTGAAAAACTAGGACTGTCCCAAATGCCATTTTTTGGGCTCCAGAGCTTCGGCAGTAATCAACAGCGAATATTCAAGGCGGGGCGGGCTGGGGCAGTTGTACGTGTGGGAGGCTGAGAAAGCTGATCAGAAAATCCACGTCTGACGCTCATGTTGAAAGCATATTTGCGGTTTCATCCACTGTTGAATCCGAATGTCCAGGCTAGCTGTTTTCCTCGCAGAGCGCTGCGGCACTCACAGCATGCCTTTGCTCCATCTACCAAACCCGCTAGCCTCTTTTAGTGGTGGGCTAGGGGGTAAAAGCACAGCGCATAGGTTAACTAGTCCTTCAAGGAGGTGGTCTAACTCAAGGTACAAAAGGCATTAGCAGCATTTGCGTGATGTTTACTGCTTTGAGTGAGCAGGATAACAGGCGTCCGAGCTGAGATGGCACATATTTCCACATTTTAACAGTGCAATAAAAAGTATCAACATAGTACAAGAAAGCGCTGAGAAAATGTATTGTGGCGTCGCCATGCTGTATTGTAAGTATTTTTAAAAAAGAGGAAATGTTAATGCATGGCTGCTTTAGGTTTATTTGTACAAGTTTTTGTTTATGTTGAAAAGTGTGAATTTGGGTGGAGAGGTGGGTTTTCCGGAGTAGAGCAGATAGCTCTGAAAAGTGTGATCGTAACTTCAAGTCGTCCAAGTTTCTCCCAAGAACCTCGAACGTAACCGTATTTTGCAGTTCACCTTTACTGATAGCCTACATTTAAAAAAAAAAAAGAATATCTGAGTCCTAAAATTTAAAACCGAATACCTACCCAATGATCGAATATCCGAATGATCGATTGGATTGTGAGAAGCAGAAAATGTAACCAACTTCTTGGACTGAACTTTGGAGGTGTGGAAAAATATTTAAATTTTTTTGTACTTGTACTTTTACTTAATGGCCATTTTGACCGGAAATTAAATAAATAAAAGGGTGGTCTCTGACTTTTGCACAGTACTGTGCATGTGTGGTCTTAATGTTAGCGTTTTCAAGTGTGTAAGCATGTGTCTTACCATGAACCTGCAGCATGGCTGATGCCTCAGTTTTCCCCACGCTGTTTTCTGTCATACAAGTGTATGTCCCCTCGTCCTCCTCTCGCACCTTCAGCAAACGGAGGCTGTTGTCACTGTGGATCTCAAATCTAAAGACAAGAAAAACAAGCACACAGCTTTGTGATGAGAGCAGAATTCAGGAAACTCCCTCATCCACTCTTCACCTCTGACACCACTCTATCCTACTCCAAACCGTTATGTTTTACCACAGTAAGACTTTTTCTGTTTCGCAGCCTTATGGTTCGGCAACATCTGTGTTTAGCATACATGATCTGTTCCAACAGGCTGACAACAATAGCACAATTATAAGAAATAAGATTGGAATATCATATTAGGACACAAGGGTTACATAATGCTAAGTGTTCCCAATTAGTCAGGAAAAAAAGAAATAACCTTAATTATCTCATACTGTAAATAATACATATATTTAATACATGTGGCAGCAACTTGACACATACAAGTGATTGTTTTGCTGCTTGAAATTTACTTTCCCATGAAAAACAAACCACGCTATTCTTATGAAATTATGCAAGTTTATAACATTCTCATCAACACCTAAATCTTTCCATTGTTTTAAGAGCTTAAAGGCGTAGGCGGTGAGAAAGCTCTCCAAACCACACAGAAGTGTGATTACAATCACAATAGGGCTGTTTATCTGTTTTATTTTTATTGCATTTTTACAAATTTGTTGAGACCCTGGCCTGGGGGAGGAATGTCTAAAAAGCTACTTCATAAACAGCAAGGAGGGCTATAGTGCTAAGTCTTGTATGTAGTGATTCCAGTAGATTTGTTGTGAACTTTCTGCTTTTTGAACATAAAATAGAGCCTGAAATATTTGTCCAAACACAACGTGACCTTGTGTTGTGGTTTTGGCAGGTTTGAACATTTCAAAAAATGTGTTGTGTTTGGGTCAGGCTCATTCAGATTTCTCATAGCCTGTCTTCCACTTTAACCAGATTTTGGATTGCATTTACTCCTGCTTTAGTTAAAATGGTATTTAAACTTTAATTGGGATAACTGATAATTAGGCTATTCATTTTCACTTACTTTACTTCTTTATCAATTATTTGATGACATAACAGGTGTCATTAAAATTATTACTTTTTTTCAATTAAATTTTTCTCTGGTTGGTGGTGGTCACAATTCAGTTGGGTGTGGACAGAATTGTCTTTTAACTCAGGCTTCATTCTAACTCATGTTCCATGAGCACAGCTGATTTATCAACCTGTGTGCAGAATCCCCTTTTGCGAGTGAACATGAGTGGCAGGTTTTAGCCCACCTGATTTAATTAATTTTCAATTTTATGGAGTGACATTGTTGAGGTACAAGAATAGGGGCAATGACAACCTGGAGCAATATACATGTACAGCCTCCATGAAGCTGGGTAAAATGTGCATTTTTTTTTACACCAAGAAGAAGGAGGTGCATTTGCTGTGAAAATAGCCGCAGCACAAAAGATATACGAGAAGAGAGGAAGAACAACAAAGTATATTTCATCAGAGAACTGTTCTCAGATGTATTATTAAAAGCAAGCTTATGTTTTTGTCTCTTCAGATTTTGACATGTTATTTTTTAGTTCATCTACAGATAATCTGGTAGCCACATTTATTGATTCACCTCCTAAGTCAAAACTTAAAATTTGTCTAGATAGAACTTATCTGTCGGCTTTCCTCCATGTCTGCAACTGGCGAAAAGCTCTGAGTGGATCTGACTCAGAAAACTAGAACCATTTTTTTTTTTTGTGCACATTCCTTAGTAAATACGGCTCATAGTGACATGGGTTGGGCCAGGTAATACGAAGACAAATTGTTCTCAAAACCCCACTGGGGCATTATGTAATCACAGACTTGCTGACATGGTTTCTGACACTGTATGACAATCTGTCGTACAGACAGGACAAAAAGGGACAAACAGAGAAAAGAAAAATTTAGGCTAAAAGATGGCTGCTACTACAATTTTTGGCTGTGCCGTGTACTTTTTGTACACTGTCCATTTTTATGGATAAAAGTGTGCCATAAGTGTCAGAAACCACATAGGATATGTGGTTTAGGCATGCAATTTGCACAATTCAGGTGCTATAAGATGGTCATAGCAAGTTTGGGTCTGACCTGCCACGTGGCAACTCTCCCTCCTCCCGACGCCAGCGGACCGTGGGAGCCGGATCTCCATGCACCTCACACAGGAACTCCACTGTCTCCTCTGCCAGCGCAATCTGATTCACCGGCCTGCGGATGAACACTGGCCTCTCTGCTCACACATACATACAGCACAGAAGTCACACATTGACCATCACTTTCACATCACTTAGCATGGGCTGGGTGAACACAGCTGGTGAAAGACTCACCAAACACCACAAGCTCAGCTGGATCGCTGTCCCTTTCGCCCACCATGTTGGAGCCCACACATACGTACATGCCTGCGTCACTCTTCCGAGTGTGAGAGATTATCAGCTTGCCACCCTGCATCTATGACAACAAAAGTGAGATCACAACTTCTGCTGCTTGCTCATAGCAACTACCTTTTGTTCCAGTGCAGTGGTAACTAACCATGTTCCTGCCAGCATGGCTTGCCTCTAAGGCCTTTATGATTACTCAATTATATTTAATTACTCAAATGAAAAGTCATTGATAATTTACCTTCTCAACAAAACAGCAACAATTAGTTAGCAATTTGCATGACAATAGTACTTATTTTACATTCTTCTACTGATCTCTGGTTGCAGCAAGAAAAAGAGCTTCATGGATACATTTCTATGCATTTATTGCCAAATTGTGTTTTTATATTTATTAATGAAGTTTTTTAAGGACTTCCTAGTTCCTTTTTCAGGCTGAATATTTTTGGAACCTCTAAACAGTGACATATATATATATATATATATATAGTTTGTCACTGGTGACTACAGTCCATTTTTACTGTTTGACCTTGTCTACAAACTCTGTTTACTCAATGAAGTGTCATTATGTTACTAATGTAATAAATAGTGACAGCCCTTATAAATCACATCTGCTCCAACTAATGACTGTCTTCAGACGTCACTGATCAGCTAGATCAGATGTATGAGTCCTAGGTTAGAGGTAAAACCTAGAAGAAGGCAGATCTACAAAAGATTTGGTGACCACAGCTCAACACAGTGAGAATGTTTAGAGAGAAACTGAGACTCAGTAAAGATTTTCACTTTGCTAGTAATTTGGTTGCTGATTTGGCAGCAGGTTTTGACAAGTGAAGACAACACCTATCTATTGACCTCTACACCAGTAAGGTTCAAATCATGGCGTAAGTGTTTCTTAAAGATGCTGATGCATCCTCTGAGCTAATCCTGAGTGCATCAAGTGGCAGAAGATGATGTCATGATTGCTCAGTAGTCATGCTCTAATCAGCACTGGGCAATCATCGCTGCCCATCTCCCTCATCGCAGGATGTGGTTAGTGGACCACTGGCAACTCACAGAGATCCTCCCGTCTTTGTCACTGACGCGGACATTGTTCCTCTTCCAGGAGATGCTAGGCTCTGGGTGGCCACGTGGGGGAATGCACTCCAGCACGGCCGCTTCACCCACAGCCACCACCACATCGTTAGGGGCCTGGCGGAAGTCATCCCTGAGAGCTGAGGCAGAGAGAGAGGGCATGATGAAGATAGATCGAGATTTCTTTTAAAATTCTGTTTATAGTGTATAATGCACTAAAATGAGTTTTCACTGTTTCCCACAGGTCCGAAACAAACCTTGGGTGAGCACCACGTGGGGGTGGGGGATGTTATTTGAATATATGGATATCTGAATTTAACATTATTATAATGATAAACTCGGATAAACAAAGACTTTTCTTACCCTTTCAAATGTTACTCTATGGAACACTATTCCCACATACTTTGGTCTACAGGCGTGATCTTGGTCTCATTTGAAAGGTAACTCTCAGGTTTTTTTCCCAACCATCACAATAATCATATGAATTACTGACACAGAGTACCAGAGGGAAGAATGGAGGAGTTTATTTCCACCTGGCTCAGAGATCTCTTAACTGATCTCTGACTCTTCTTGTGTTATCAATACAACAGGTTTTGGATTATGATGTCTCTGTTGATAGCGGCAAGGCTTTGAAGGTAACGACCTACAGATTTGCTAGTGTTTGCTCATTCGGTGCTCAAGTTGCAAGTGAGACGATCGTTACTGCTGTGAATAACGGATCATAAAATGGTTTGAGGCAATCTGATCCTTCCTGAGATTTTAAGCTTACTAATGGTATACTGCATCACCGTATCACTGGACAATTTGATGCATAAAAATGATGTATAAAAAGCTTGAAGTGAGCACATTGACAGAAGTGTGCCGGTATCAGTACAGAGATCTAGAAAAAGTGAAGTGAAGGTTTAGGTCATGGAGATGATCTCAAGGAAAAACAGTGATGTTTCACATCAATGACACTATGTGTTATGTTTTTTATTCTAACATGTTTTCTCATTTAAGTTTGTTCCTCTGGACAAAATGGAACATGGACATTGTTAAAATCGGAAAAAATATACTTAAAACGGTCATCAGTTTACTTGGGGGGGGGTGGTTACACTATGAGCGTGAAACACTGAAGTTACAGGGGACAAATAAGTTACAAATTAGTTAGTTTTGTTTTTCAAAAATTTGTCACTTTTATCACCCAACCTGACCTAACACTGTCCTCCTTCACCCAGCCCTACACACCCATACCCATTCTGCCAAAAAGCAAAAGCAGGTATTAATACATGAATAAATAAAAAAGTAAAATAGTAAATCAAATAAAATAACAAATAACTGAATTATTTGCAGTGTTAGATACACTCACTGGCTAAGAAAAGGAAGCAAAAGATTCTTAAAGATTGTTTGCAATCTCAAAGCATTTAATGCCAGAGAAGAAGGGAGTGTGGAAGCAGTCAAGAATATGTCCTTTTAGACTGAAAGAGAAGAAGGATCTAGCATTTTAAAATTCTTTTCTTGTAATGTACATTCACATATCTTTATGGATAGAAATGAGAGCTTTATCAATAGGATATGTCAAAGGGGTTAAGTAATGTCTGCAATTCACCTCCTATGGCCTCACGCTGCAGCTCCAGCTTCCTGCTCCTCTCTGCCTTTGCCCCCAGAGCTTATCAATAATAAACTCTTTTCATAACAATGCACTCACTTTTAAAACACTTGAATAGTTCACTGGGTGAAGCATGATATAACAAAGTTTCTTCTGCAACATAACATGGCACAGTCCTGCAGGGGAATAAAAGGAAGTAAATGGAAGTCGCTGTCTAGGAGATGATCATGAATGAGGTAGTAAACAATGTCAACAGCATGTAATCGACTGTGTCCTCTTGTCTTGTCCAAATCCATCTTTCTGGGAATGCAGAATAAACCTATGCTATCACTGTAGTTCAACTAGGCAAAGACAGTTCATCTCAGATGGAAGACAGATAACTACCACGCCCTCTGCACCATGGCTGGGGCCTAAGGGGGCACTTTGACTTTCTTCACATCAAACAATAAAAATCCCTCTAGAGCTGAAACTCCCGAACACCTCGGAATGTTTCATATACTGCCAATCGTCTCCTCTGCACCGCTAATAGGCCATAAACAATTCACACCCGTCAGAACAGAATAATCAGACCAACAGCCATATTGTCTGCCCTGTGTTTGCATTACATAACCATATTCATTATCAATGGAGCATGATAAGGCTTAATGTGATCATTTAGTGTTTGCAAATGAAAATGGAATGGAAATTGAATTGGGCCTTAATTGGTGAAACTAAATCTATTTAAATTAATTCTTAATTACAGTACAACTTTAGCAAGTTCAACAGCTAGAGCCAAGACTTGCTCTGCTGTATTACTATTCTATATTCCCCAAACAGATCTTCCATCAACACAAACAATTCTTGTTTTTATTTTCAACAATAAACATTTAGTAAAACTCAAAATTCTGGGGGATGCACCGAGAGCTTTGGATGTCCAATCTGCCAGTTCAAGGTATAATAATATTATTCGAAGCATGAATTTTCAAATCTGTCCGACAGGGACAAATGGTGGGGGCTATCTCTAAGCAGTTTGTGTCTCAGATTGCACGGCAGCATTTAAAGTGGTCATCTGCCAGTCTGTGGACTGAGAACCCCCTCACCACACACACACACACACACACTCTGTCATACACCACATGCAATCTGTCACGCTACTTCTCACTTAACCTTGCTTTTTCCACATTCCCTTATCTGAACATTTTATCAGACAAATTAACTTCTCCAATTCACCAAATATATTCAAAGAGGTCAAACAAAGAAATGTGTCATTTCAAGAAAGGTGTCGTTTCAGTTCAATTATTAGACTAAAGCAGACTGTGGAAATATAGATATCAGTAAGAAATATTAAAAATCTCATTTCCCTTAACGTTTGAATAAGTAACCCCACTCACTATCTACCAGAAACAGTGAAAAACAGTACAAAACTAAAAATGTAAGTAAAAAGTAAAAAATAGAACGTGAAGATGGGCTAACTATGACACGAGGAAGCATCTTCTCTTTGCTATAGCCGTAAGGACAGACAGATAATGTGACCAACAGAGTATAACATTTATTCAATTGTGCGTTTGTGCCTGTGGCTGCATAAGGCACTGACTCCCTTGTGGTTGGCGGTCACTGCTGACTGAGTGGCCATTCTGTCCCTCCGGCCATTCTCCATGACCATGCACTCACAAAGCAAAAGAAGTCTGTTGTGTGTATGTGTGTGAGCTGCGCAGATGTTTTAAAAGGAGCTTGGTGAGCTGATGTCCCCACGGGCTCGGAGGAGGGGGAGCAGAGGGGTGGGTCAGGAACGAATGCATCTGTCCCACCCAGAGACCCCTCCTTGCAAGGACCCATCTAGACTCTGAGAGGAAGAGTGGGTCACACTCTTAATGCATAAACTGAGTGTAGCGCCTGACTGACTGTAGAGTGGCTGTGTGGTCAGAGGCTCAGATGGTGCAGATTGTTAAAGCTTTATGAAACAGAGGAAGATGACTTGACAGTTTCTTTTGTTTTTTTCAACTGTGCAGCTCTGGATGTGATAGTGAACTACAATAACTTAAGTTAACATGATTTGGCTTCCTCCATAACATGACATATTTCTGAGGGAAATATAGTATAAGGGAAGGTCTCTGAGCTACAGTGCTGCGCAAAAGTCGGAGACCCCCCTACATTTATTAAATTTCCTGTGAAAATGGCCATTAAGTACAAGGTATTTATTTTTAAGAGATATTTATGAGGACGTTAGATATAGCATAATCCACTAGCACAAGAAAGGGGAAAGTCAAAGGCAATTCAGCAAACAAACAGGAATTTCCAAAACTGGAGTTCAAAAGGTACAGAGAAAATAGAACTGTGCAAAATCTGGTAGACCATCAAAACAAAGAAGCTGCTGGTGTTCTCAGAACAATGGAATGGCCAGACCTCAACATCACTGAATTTGTTTGGGGTTAATTGGATTGTGAGAAGCAAAACATGCAACGAATGTCTAAGACTAAAGGTGTGGAAAATATCTTTGCAGATTTCTTTGAAAAACTAAAAGCAAGTCTTCCAAAAAGAATAGACATTGTATTATAGGTAAAATGGTGGACTTTTGCACTGGAGTACTGGAGTGAAGAGGTTTTTTCTCAATAATGGAGAAAAACATGATACTCTTAGTTAATTTTATTTTTCTCTGCCTGCATGGCCTTAGTGACATAGCCAAAAATCAGAAGACATTTAGAGATCATTTTCAATGACATACAAGTCCTGCTTAAGAGGTTTTCAGTTTAATATGTGTTCACTAAATGATTTAATGTGAAGTCTCAAGAGACAGACTCCCTACTAGTCCCTTCATACTAGTATTTGTATTTCCTCTACAGAAGTAGGTGGGGCTCACTTCAGATATGAAGCAAATCTATTTAGCATAAATATCTTGCAGAGGGAAGGGGGCTTCCAACTTTTAATCTCACCCAACATCCAAAAAGCACATACACTCTAGAATAATTAGTATTTGTAATACGGTTGCATTCTATTCTTACTAATGTTAGAATTCTTTTAAAGATAATTCTCTTTCCACAGGTAAGTAGCTACAAATCTTATTACACACTTCAAAATAATTAATTCATAATCAAAACTGGTAACATTATTCCTGTATATGTATGTACATGTACATAGTGATGTGGAGACGGCCCTTTTACACTGATTGACTAGCCATACAGTTCCAAATTCTCAACTGACCACCGGTATGCACAAACACAAAATGCCCTCTGTTCTATGCATATATATGCGTACACTTCTGTCACTCTCTTTTCCCTGCTCTAACGCAGTCGCCAATCGCCCTCCTGAATTAAATATAATTCGCATGAGTCCCGTGAACAAGCAAGGACAAGGACAGGCTGTTTCAAAACAGCCCCCTAGCACGATGCATTTTTCAGGAGACAGGAGCCATGAGTAATTCATGAGTTCTGGTTAAGAAAGAGAAAGGAAGGGGGAAATAGTGTCACTGTTTACCTCCAGTCGGCCAGCCTACAAGGCCTGTGGCAATACCGCAAGCCTAGTTAAGGGGAAGAGCTATACTCGCTCGACCCTGTCACTGCTCCTGCCTCTTGGCAC